TTTTGGTATTTTTAGTAGAGATGAGGTTTCACCATGTTGGCCAAGCTGGTCTCAAACTCCTGATCTCCAGTGATCTGCCCACCTTGGCCTCCCAAAGTGCTGAGATTACAGGGGTGAGCCACCATGCCTGGCCCATTGTGGACTTTTTATCATTCATTTTTCCTGGGCACTCAGTGAATCTTTCTAATCTAAAGACTGGTGACCTTTAGCTCTGGAAATGTTCTTGTATTATTTGCTAATAATTTCCTCCCCTTTATTATTTCTCTTCTTTGTTTATGGGACTTTAATTAGTGAACTGTTGGACATCCTAGACTTTTTTCTCTTATTTTATCTTTTCCATTTTCCATGACTTTGTCTTCTTGTTTTACTAAGATACTTCCTTAATTTTTCATTAAATCCTTCCATTGAAATTTTAATTTCAGCATTCCTAATTTTATTCACAAGAGCTCATCCTTCATCCTTGTTTCTTTTTTAGCATTCTGTTTTTGCTTTGTGGATACAAACTATTTGGTTTTCTTCTTGAGAATATTATCATTTTTAAAAGTTTGCTTCTAAACCCTGCATTGTCTGGATTTCCTCCCAGTTCCTTTTCTCTGTTAGTTTAAATTGCTGTCTTTTCCTAAATATCTGGCAAACTACTGGTTGTGTGTTTGAATTTAAGCACTGAAAGATGACTGGAAACTCTGAGTGGATGGGAATAATTTATGGCTTGGTGAACTTTGCTATAGGATTATAAGGCAGAATGCTGGCTTTTTATTGAGGACTCCAAAGTGTCAGTTCCGTAGGTCTTTTCTCTTGGGTCAGATTCCCTTGGATGGAATCCTCCAATCTCCTGCTTTTGATTGGAGGGGCAGCGGTGTGGAAGGTATAAGCCTGGATGCCAGCATTCTGGGAGCCAAGGAGGGAAAAGGAGCTGAGAGTTTTAAGACTGCTTTTAGTATAATGTCAAAGCTCAGCAGAAAGTAAACTTCACATATCCTTCCAGAATGAAGAAAGGGTAGTTATTGGTTTAGTGTGCCTGAATCTGTGGATCTAGTTGTTCCTTATGAAAACTTTCAACTTTCTGTGGCACTAAATCAACTTGATGTTGTTGGCTTCCTGATCTAGGTTTCTCTGGTCTGTTGTTGGTTACCACACATTCATCGCTTTCTAGCTTCCAAACATTTGTTGACAATCTTTTACTCGTTGGCATCTCTTTTCCATTCTCTTTGTCTTTGTAGGTTTATGACATTTCATTCTTTGACTGTTATTTCAGTGAGATTTCATGAAAGCAAAAATAAAACATATATTCAAACCACTATATTTAATAATCTCTACTCTCCAACCCTCTGAAATGTTTTGTCCCACTACCACACCATTGAAAGTATTCTTTTCAAGGTCATCAAATGAATACCTTGTTGCTAAATATAATAGACACCCCTTTGTTTCATCTTACCTGATCTCTCAGTAGCATTTGTCCTCCTGATCATTTTTACTTGAAATTTCTCTGCCCTTAGCTTCCATGAACACTCCTGGTTTTCTTCCTACCTAGCTGTTTTTGTTTTGTTTTGCCTTTGTGAGCAATGTTTCCTTGGTCTATTCCTTTAATGCTATTGTTCTTTGTGATTCTGTCTTAGGTTATTCTCTTCTCTCATTACACGTTCTCCTTGTTGCAAACTCATTGGTTCCTAGGGCTTCAATTACCATTTAGATGGTTATGATTCCCAACTCTTTATCTGAATCTTATTTTCATAGGCTCAGGTATAACCTGAGGTGTAGGTGGAATAGATGACTATCTATGTAATATGACTTGAGAATCATCTTCCCAACTTCAATACTGGTCTCCCACAGGGTCTGAAATTTTCCCCCACCTTTATGCACTGTATTGTGTTAAGGTACCATGACTTCAGTTAAAATGAAATTTTAGCTGGGAGAGGTATGTCTTTCCCCTTACAAATGATGCCTTATATTATTTGTAATAGAGACCAAGGCCTTAAGAGACTGCAGCAATATAGCTTACTTTGTGTTTTGCTTAAATAAAAAAAAAACACAGTCGGATACACACACACACACACACACACATAAACACACACACACACACACCCCACCTGGTCACTTTTAACCCATTCTTAACCTTTCATCCACCGTTAACATTTAGGAATATAGTATTCCAATATTTCTATTTAGATATACTTCACAAACATGATATCATGCTATATATACTGCATTATACTCTACATTTGAAACAATATATCACAAACTTTTCTCTATATCATTGGATCTTATTATAAAATCTGATTTCCAATTGCCTCATGTTATTTTATCTTTTGATATATAGTACATTACTTAACTCAGTCTCCACTGTTAGACAATTAGGCTACATATGGTGTGTTGAGTGCCCTTGTAGTTGTATCTTTGCATACATCTCAATTATTTCCATAATAAAATTTTTATGAAATAGAACTGTGGTGTCAAAGATTTATATTTTAAGCTATTTTGAAATTTAATGCTAATTTGGCCTTCAAAATATGCATCAATTTCAATCCTAATACAAATATGTAGGCATTATTGAATATAGGCATAAAAGCTCCTATGCTGTCATTTGTTTGTAATTTAAACTTTATCTCATGTTAATTTACATTTCTTTGATTTCTCATATGGTTGGACTTTTTAAATATATTTATTTGCCATTTGTTTGCTTTGACTTTGTTTTCTTTGATGCTTTGTGAATTAACCCTTTTTGTTTTATTTGTTTACATGTATGCTTATTCCAAGACACTTAAAAATCTGGTCTCTTTGCTTCCAATTTTGACCTTTTCCAATCCCTCCACTGAAGCCATAGTACTATTCCTGAAACATGAATTTCCGCATATTACTTCCCCACCTAAAATGCTTAGTGACTCCCATCATTCTTAGGATAAAATCCAACGTTTGTAACATGGCCTACAAAGTTCTGCATGATTTTGTCTCATTCTCCAGGCTTCAAACAAGAGAGAACACACACACATCCACATAGTCTTTGCTTAGTTAACTCTTACTCATTAGGTAGGTCATTAGTTAAAATCGACTTCCTCAGGGGAGATTTCCCTTAGCTCCCAAGTCTCTTCAGATAACTCCTGTGTACGCTCTATTCCCTTTGTAGCAGCACTTCTATTGCCCATGTAATGTCTTTCTCCTTCATGATGTGTGAGCTCTTGAGGGCAAGAACCACAACAAAACTTGTTCACTTTGTGTATCTCCAGTGCCCAGTACAGTGCCTGGCACACTAGTTGTGCTTAATAAGTATTGGATAGATGGATGGAAGAAATAAAGAAGATTGGAGAGGCCAGAAAGAAATTCCATGAGCTAATTTTCTAGATTAACTGTTATCCTAAGAAGTTGTCTCCTTGCTCACCAAATCTTGGCTATTCACGTGAGACCTTATGATTGTACTGAGCTAGTCTTTCATTTTGCCTGTAGCTTATCCCTGAAACATCTCTATTTTCAGAAACAATAAGAGATGTTGTTGGTAGATATACAGCAGGGTATATGTACATGAGGATATGTATTTTTCAGTTTCTCATTCCCTTACAACTAGCTCACCGTAAAAGTTTCCTCTCTGGTCTTCCTACATTCAATGCCTTTTCTCTCGCCTCTAACTTACATATTGTTGCCAAATGAATTTTTCTTTCCTCACCATCATTTACATGTTCAAGGATCTTCATTGGCTCTGATTTAGAAGATCTTGCACAGGACTAAAACATGTATATTTTGGCAAAAGCTCCTCCAGATAATCCTGATGTGTAGTGATGGCTAAGAAGTGCTGAAGTATGTAAAATATACCTCAATTTTTTGAAGAACACTCTAAATGGTGAAGGGTATAGAATTTAGAATCAGATGGACATGGGCTCAATTACATTTCTGACTCTTACTGGTTGTGTGACCTTGGACAAATTACTTAGCATTTCAATGTGTCAACTTTCTCATTTGCAAAATTGAAATGACATCTACTACATAGGGTTATGGTAAAGAGTAAATTAGATAATATGTGTAAAGTGAATGTAGAGAGCATTGTATATACTAAGCACTCGATAAATGTTAGCAGTTATTTTGTTGTTAGTCATTCAATTGTTCATTCAACAATTATTTTTTCACTATGTGTCAAATGCTGTGTTAGGTCCATGGAAGATATTAAGAGGTACAAAATATGAACCCTGCTCTTGAGACTCTTAGAATTAGTTGGGAAGATAACACTATCATAGCACTATACAATCGGAGGATAATAAAGTGAAATATAAATGCTATAAAAGATCACATAGGTCAGGTGCAGTGGCTCATGCCTGTAATTCCAGCACTTTGGGAGGCCAAAACGGGTGGATCACTTGAGGTCAGGAGTTTGAGACCAGCCTGGCCAACATGGCAAAATCCTGTCTCTACTAAAAATACAAAAATTAGCTGGACGTGGTGGTGGGCGCCAGCTAGGGAGGCTGAGATATGAGAATCGCTTGAATCTGGAAGGGGGTCGGAGAGGCAGAGATTGCAGTGAGCTGAGATGGTGCCACTGCACTGCAACCTGGGTGACACAGCAAGACTCCATCTCAAAAAAAAAAAAAAATCACATAAATGATATATTTAGGGAAGGTGTTAACCTAGCATGCTGACTTGCTGACTAGCATAAACAAAAAAGAAAAATCTCGAACTGTTTTTACCAAGTCTTTAAAGGTCTAGTTTTGATGCTGCCTGCCAGATGGAAAATGATGCAGAGGGGAAAAAATTCTGTATTTACTTCTCAGAATTAAGACTGGATGGGGGAGTGTGTTTGAGGGGTGAACATATGTGAATAAATATGGTATAACTCTTAATTGGTTCCTGATGATTAAAATTTAAATGGTTCCCATTGGAAAGGCACAGATATGATATTTTCACTAAATAAATCAAGCTTTACAAGTCATTTATTTTCACCTTGTTAAATCAGAAATCAAAAACTGGGTGAAGGTTGCAACCTATTTTGATGTATATTGATGTACTTTTCTCTTTTTCAGGGTCGCTATGGCAACTGCATCTTCTCAAGTTCTGATTCCAGACATCAATTTTAATGATGCCTTTGAAAACTTTGCTTTAGATTTTTCCAGAGAAAAGAAACTGCTAGAGGGGTTAGATTATTTAACAGGTGTGAAAATACTGTGCTTTCCTTCCCATTTAATTTTTTTTCTTCTGGTATGCTTTTACTTAAAAATAATTTGAAAAAGACAATATTTATAATTTACATATTTTATAATCTTTAAAATGATGCATGTATCTTTTCAGACAGAATATATTTTAGTTCATGTAACAGAAAAAAGATGATTTATGATTTGTTAACTATTTCTAGGATCAAAATGGGTATACCATCTATACTTAAGAGTAAAACACAAGAAATTTGCTGATAGATTTGTCCTTATGAATCTAACAGTAATGTATTGTTGCTTGTTATGAGAGTAGAACTCAGGTGACAATTAGGGAATGTTAGAGAATGCCTTATGTGGGTACAAGTACTACCAAAATGGTTTTAAGGAAAATTAGGAGTTAGTAGATCAGGAAGAAAAATGTAAGAAATATCTGGCTCTCAGACAATTTTAGAAAATGAGGGACACAACCAGCCTGTTGAAAATGCTGGCTACTTTCAGGATTGTTTAATGATCATTTCATGAAAAAAATATACACAAACTATTTTTGCAGCTGTTTTGTTACTACATTAAATATCTGCCCCCTATTGAACATCTACTTTATTCTAGACACTGTATATTAATTTTATATCTTTAATCCTTACAACAAATCTATAAGTTAATTATCACCCCTATTTTGTAGATGAGGGAACTCATCATTTTGCACTTGACTATACAGCTAAAAATATGTAATGGGGCCAGGCACGGTGGCTCACGCCTGTAATCCCAGCACTTTGGGAGGCTGAGGTGGGTAGATCACCTGAAGTCAGGAGTTCGAGACCAGCCTGGCCAACATGGCGAAACCCTGTCTCTACTAAAAATACAAAAATTAGCCAGGCATGGTGGTGGGCACCTGTAATCCCAGCTACTTGGGAAGCTGATGCAGGAGAATCACTTGAACCCAGGAGGCGGAGGTTGCAGTGAGCCGAGATCGTGCCACTGCATTCCAGCCTGGGCAACAAGAGCAAAAATCCATTTAAATATATATATATACTCATTTTGAAATAAAAAAATTAAGTTGAAGACCATATGTTAAGAAAACCATATAATCACTTTAATGTCTACATAAGTGTTTATGCAGGCAGACTAGACAGCTGGGACAATCATCACAAAAATTTAGGCTTGTATTTTTGTTGTAGAAAAGTTTAGGCTTATATTATGTTGTAGAAAAGTGGTTTTAGGGAGCTTGAGGTCCCAGCATTTTGCTTCAGGTTGCATGGTTCATGCAATTTAAAGATTCTCTATTAAGAAAATCTTCTCTTCAAGAGATGTTGGGTTAGGCAGGAAGAGTAACAATTGTAAAATTCCAGAAGAGAGAATATGCTTTCCTTACTTTCTTTTCCACCTTTCCTTACAGCCCCAAACCCACCATCTATCCGAGAAGAACTCTGTACTGCCTCCCATGACACCATTACAGTCCACTGGATCTCGGATGATGAGTTCAGCATCAGCTCCTATGAGCTTCAGTACACCATATTCACTGGCCAGGCTAACTTCATCAGTAAGTCATGGTGTAGTTGGGGCCTGTGGCCAGAGATAAGGAAATGTAAGGAAGCAGTAAGCTGCTCAAGATTGGCCGGGGCGCCACGAGGCAAGTGTTTGTAAGACATGTTAGGTTGTTTAGTATAGTGTTTCATAGACAGTGTAAGCTCCCCAGAGCATTGCAAAGACCTTACCGATGGGTAACAAGCAAGTTGTATATTTCCTTGCTGGGCAGTTACTGGGGCCATTCTCATTCATTTATGGAACCCTTAGCCTTTCCTCAATTAATCCATGTCACTCCACTTTCCCAAGGAGAGTACAGCTTGGTTGGTACTTGTTCCTTGCCACCATCATTGCTGGTTCTGTATGTATGAACATCTCTCTCCTTGACTCTTCTTCTACTTCATTATCATGGTAAAATACATTATGTTCAAAGACGTTTCCTTTACCAAACCTACCTCTGTCAGTTAACATGGTGACAAGCCTCCTGCCTCTGTCACTCTTCCCTTTACTTCTTCCTTTCCACTAAGAATTATGCTAAATATGAAAACATGTCAGTAGGCCACAAAATGAAAAAGGTTAACAAAGCTGTTGTTTAGCTCACATGTTATGGTTTCACTTTCTGGTGAATTGGAGCAAGACAAAGCAGAGTAGGAACTTCACTCATGCCAGTCAAGAGGGGATGAGCTGAAAGTTCCCCTCAATGCCCTGGGTGTGGGGGCAGTTGGTGGGGGCGCGGGGTGGAAATGGAAACAAAAGCAAAATTAAAGCTGGATTCAAGACTGGAACAGATTCCCAACCTAAAATAGCATCTCCATAGCTGCAGATTAGTATTTTCTTTTACCTTTTTGTTCCTGCTTTTGTGTTTGACTTCACAGGCCAGCATGAGAGTAGTTTTTCCAACTAACCCCTTCTACTAGGCTTCCTTTTCCTGTTTTGTGACAAATCTGGGGCAGAATTCTGTTTTGTAACAAGGTGGGGTGGGGAGATGAGAGGACATTTGGGGATCAAACTCTAAAAAACATTTGCCTCATGCAACTCCAACCTAAACCACTTGGCCCATATAGCTATGTTCCTGGGTGTTTCTTCAGATTGTGAAGTCACAAACTCTAATGCCCCACTGATTTACTTGTCTCTCCTTCTCTGGAAAGTCTTAATGCCAACAACTGTGCTTCTTTTTCCTGATATGGGGAAAGCAGTCATCTCCCAGGAATTAAGAAGAAGTCTGAGAAGTGACAAAGATCTAAAGGTTGTCACCTCTGTTTTCAAGGTTATATAGTCCTTTGTAAAGAAAAGCTTAAAGGGTAATTCTCAACAGTGATAGGATCATAGCATCTTAGAATTGGAATGGACCTTAGAGGTCATCTAGTCTAATCTTCTTCCCTCCTGCCAGACACTCAGTAGATAATCATCCTGTCTCTGCTTGAACATTTCCAGTGGTGGGTAGCTCACTTCTAACAAAACAACCCATTTGATTGTTGTGCAGCTATAAATAATGGCCAGTGCTTCCTTATAAGAGGCTTAACTCTTCCTTTAAGTAAATAATAACGACAATAATAATTTACATGTGTATTATGCTTTGCCATTTACAAATGCTCCCACATACATTATCTCATTTAGTCCTTATGAGTGCTTACTTAACCTTATGAAATGTTATTAACTCTACTTTATAGATGAAGAAACTGGGGCTCAAGTTGATTGATTGCCCATAGTCACAGAGCTACGAAATGTTGGAGTCAAGGTTGCAGCTTGAGCCTGTCAGACTTCAAGTTTAATGCTCCTTGAAGTAAACCACAACGACCAGTTAGTCCTAGTTCTGACCTTTTGTGCCTCACTAACAAACCTAATCCATCTTTCACATAACAGTTCCTCAAATAATTTTCGTTAGTTCCTATGTCCTTCTAAATTTTCTCTTTTCCAGGCTAGGCATCTTCCTTTCTTTCAATTGCTCCTCATATGGCATAGTTTCAGATCTTTTGCTACCCTAGTATCATTTTTAAGAACACACTCCTGTTTATCACTGTGCTTTATAAGATGTTCTGTCAACGAAGTGAATGTAGTACTCCAAAAGTGATCTGACCACTGCAGAGGATAGCTGGATTATTTCTCTTGTACATTAACTGATGCCCCTTTGCCCTCTACCTTTTTTTCAGCAGCCACTTTGACTACTGACTGTTTACTGAGCATATGATCAACTGAATGTTCTATGTATTCCAAATCCTGTTCTTATACAATTGAATGTCTAAAACAAAAATACAAAGCCTTGAATTTATCCCTAGTACATTTTATCTGGTTAGTTCTGCGACTTCATTTCAGCATGCTAAAATCCTTTGGGATACAGATTCTACTTTCAAATATACTTGCTTACCCTCACAGCGTGCCTTCTATTTCTTCCTCTAGTTATTGATAGAAAAGTTTGTTAGAACAAGGACAAGGGCAGAGGCCTGAAGCAAAATTTTGATGGCAATGGGAAACTATTTTACTAGGAATAAGTATTTTTGAAGATTCAGGATCCCAATCCTACCTGCCAGTCTGGCCTGCCACAGTTGACTGAACCTCCATTCTGAGAACTACTTTCCTTAGACGTTTTTGTACATTTTCTTTATCCAGAAATTTTATTCTTGTTGGTGAGGATTATTCCCCCTTCACCTTTTCTTTCAACTTTATTTCTTGATTTTTAACTTTCTTCCCACCTCTTCTAAGATTTGAAATGATCACAACCAATAATGTTTCAGATTATGTTGTGAGGTGAATGAGAATTCCAACAAATATGTGAGTGTGTTTGTCTTCTGATTACTGTATTATCTTTCCTCTGTTTGAATTTTGTGTTTTGCATTACAAAAGCATTAGCCGTAAACTCTGTCTAGCCAGGCAGACTGTAACATACTACCAGAAAGATATAACTTCTGTTTTTCTTCCTTTTCATTCTCATGCAAATACTCTCTACCACACATTTACACTCAGGTTCAGGGATTTCCATATTGTAATTTTCTCCTTTTGAACAAAAGGTATACTTCCACTGACATAATTCAGTCATAAGTCCCATCTTACTAAATCTCAGTAATACCTAGAGGATCATATATTTACCTTTTTAAATTTAGAAATGATTTCAAAATCACAAAAAACTTGCGAGACTAGCACAAAGAACACCCGTATATGCCTTACCCAAATTCACCTACTGTTAATATTTGTCCAACTTCCTTTAGCATTTGCTAACATTCCCTGTTTTTTTGGAACCATTTTAGAGCAAACTGCATGCATCATGGTCTTTCACCTTTGAATTCTTCAGTGTATATTTCCTAAGAATAAGAAAATTCTCTTACATAACCACAGTATAGTTACCAACTTGAAGAAATTTAACCTTGATGCAATACTTTTATCTAAACCACCATTTATATTCCAAGTTTTGACATTTGACCAAATAATATTCTTTATGACATATAAAGAACCCAATATTGTCCTTGATAGTTTAGAGTCAGGTATTACATTTAATTGTCATATCTCTTTTGTCATATCTCCTTTAATCTGGAACATTTCTTCAGCCTTTCTTTGTCTTGAACAACATTGACATTTAAAAAAAAATGTTCTTTTATGTCTTTATTATACTTCATTGTACTGTTCCTTGTTTTGATTTTTTCTGAAGTTTTCTCATGATTATATTCAGCAGGACAGTTCTTTCTTAGACACATGATGTCTACTTGCCCTTCACTGATGATGCTAATTTTGATCACCTAGTCAAGATGTTGTCTGACTTATTCACTGTAGTTACTACTTTTTCTTTTGCCCCTAATAAGTAATCTGTGTGGTATATTTTAAAACCATAAAAATACCCTGCTTCTTCATCAAACCATCTCATCCCCACCCCTACCCTTGTTTTATCATCAGTTGACGATACTTGCCTGAATCAATCATTAATATGATGATTGCAAAATGATTATTTTCCAGTTGAGTATTCCCTCCCACATTTTCAAGTTGGCGCTTGGCATTCTACTGTAAGCAAGAGCCCCACTCCCCATTTCCTCCCATTTGTTTATATATCAGTATGGGCTGATGAATTCTCTTTTTTTCGATTGTTAATAATTATTTACTGCCCTTATTTGTGTTGGTGTTCAAATTGTCAAGATTTACCCATTGGGAGCCTTTCAAGGTGATTTCTGGATCCTTGTAATATTCCCCCATCATTTTCTTGAGCACTTCCTTACTTTCTGGCATAACAAAATGTTCTAGGCTCATTTTGACGTTATTCTGCCCCAGCCTTGAAATCAGTCATTTTTTTCCAAGGAACCCTGGTTTCTTTTAGTGGGACAATATTAGAGACCAAGGCTTGAGTGCTAGATATGCTAGATATACACACAAACATCCATATATGTAAGCATGTGCACCCACATATAATATACATGCATACATACTTTATTTATGTGCACATAAACATACGTATATTTTAGGAGTCATGAGTTTACATCAATACCTTAAATTCCAGTCCATCCCCACAGGTTCTTTCCTGCCTTTCTCCATTCTGCGTTTGCATGTTCCTTCTTCCACAGTATGAACCCTGGCTCCCAACATCAACACATGTACTCATTTGCTCAATCCCATAATACATCTAAAATAGTTTCTGAATTGCTTTGTCCATGCCACTACAAAAACAAACTGGCTAACAATACTTCAGGATTTGTTTGAAGTTTTCCTCCCACCCCCACCATGTTGGTGTAATTATGCTGTTCATCTGAAATGCAGTTGGGTTTGTTTCAGTTTGCCTTCAGTTTTAGTCCCCACTTTCCCATCTGTATTGATTTAACTTTATTTTTTTGAATTTGTAAAACAATGTGTTTCCCAAAGAGGATGCTATACAAAAAGGTACATTCAGAGAAATGTCATTTCCTCCCATATCTTTTTAATCCTGTTCCTCCACCCCCTACCCCTTGTGGATAACCAACTTCATGAATTTTTTATTTATCTTTCCTGTTTTTATTGTTGTTGCTTTGTAAATCCAAGCAAATATATGCATGTTTTCTTATTTTTCTTTCTCTCAAAAAAGTAGTATACTGCATATATACTACATATACATATATATTTTTGGAATTTGCTTTTTTCAATTGACAAAATTTCATTGAAATCAGTCTATATCAGTTCATAGAGATCTTTTCCTCATTCTTTTTCCACAGCTGCATAGTACTTCATTGTGAAGTTTGTCCTTGTATTGTTGGGTGTATATCTGGAGATTATATATTTTCCTCTTTGTATTAAAATCTTATGTGCAGCTTATGATTCATACTGTGTATTGGTAACATAGGCAAGGCCTCAAACATTGCTCCTGCCCTTTTAATCCATATTGTCTTTTAATGAGAATCACTGGGCACCTCCACCAATTCTTCTTCATCTTTCTCCAGCATATCTGTTTGCCCTCCATTATGTTTCTTTTACTAGTTTTAATTTAGACTTTTCAACTTCCCCTCAGATTAATTATAAACCTTTGATCAGATCTCTTGCAAAACACTCATGACTTATTATTTTCAATTTTCAGCCTCACTAAATCTTGTACTGGAGTTGCATAGAAATGACTGAAGTCACTGCTTATTTTCCTTGCCCTTCCCTTTCTACCCTCTAGTAGAACTGTGGCTAAAAACTGGTAAACTAACTGAAAAGCAGGTAACAGTAGAGAGAAGTCTAGATAATCTGCAGACTAGAATGTTGGTTTTTCTTTTATCGAAAGCTTGCCAGATATATATTTTAATTATGTACATTTCCCCTGTTTAAGTTAATATTTGCAGTCTAAAATCCATCAAAAGCAGAAGCCTAGTTCTCTGATCCCTTTCCTTACTTGGAAGGGAGGAAGATTACAGATAACAATGTGCTCCTGGACCACTCAACCCAAAATGAACATGGGAATCACACAACAGAATGTGTTGTGTAAGAATGGGGAGATGATATCTTGCTTTGGTTATCATGTCATCTCTTTGGCTTCCCTACGGTGCTGTGGAGACCAGCTAGTTTGGGAAATAAGGGTGAGGATGGAGTAGGAGAGTGGAATTGTAAGCCCTGGGAGCCTCACTACCTTGCAGAGACAAAAGAACATTTTTGTTTGCCCCATGAACTGTGATGTAGTAGAGAGAACACTGGGCTACCATTTAAAAAATACCAGGGTTCTACTCTCAGCACCATCACCGACTATGTGTGACCTTGGGCAAGTCACTTTGCTTCTCTCAATCCTAGTTTCCCACTTGTGAAATAAGGGACATTCAGTATCTAGGTGTCCCTTTGGCTGAGTTTCCATGTTTCCGTGCTCTGCACAGGATTGCTCCATCCATATAAGACCAGACTCAGCTGTCAGAGGAGTGGACATTTGGAGTAAATATCCAGAGACTCAATAAGAGTGATGATTCTGTGACTCTGTATAGTAGCCATTCCTGTGTTATCTGGCAAAAAATAAAAATTGAAATAGTCTAACTTCTGCTGGTGGTTGCATTCAATTGCCAGAAGCAAGGAGCCTGGCCTAAGCCTAGTTCTGTGGCAGTAATGAAATAGTGGAATCATAAGCCCTGGTTCATCTCATTACATCTTCTAAGACTCAAAAGAAAACAAAATGAATTCACTTTTGAGGGGGTGGCTTTTGATGAATTTTCAGTGTGTTTTTCATTCTGTCTCTCTTACCTGCTGGCTAATGTCCTTGTCTTTCCCCATTTTACAGGCCTGTATAATTCAGTAGACAGCTGGATGATTGTGCCCAACATTAAACAGAACCATTACACAGTGCATGGACTCCAGAGCGGGACTCGCTACATCTTCATCGTTAAAGCCATAAACCAAGCCGGTAGCCGGAACAGTGAACCTACCCGACTAAAAACAAACAGTACGTTGTGGTAATTTCAAAAGGAAAGATCAATTTTCTTCTCCACGCCAGGGGAGTACACAGCCTGAGCAGGCACCCACAGCAGTGCATGGGGAGCAGTGGAACTGGGTAGAGGAGCTATACTGTTGTAGTGTGTACTTTGGGCAAGGAGTTTGTTGGTGCCCATGGAAGATTTGTGGACCCAGAGATATGCACAAAAAGACTGGTAGCTTGGGAGGATGTTAGTGAAGATTTTTCTCTGCACTCCACCCTTTATATTTGGGGGACAATTGCATAAAAGAGCATTATTTGTGATAATCTAGCAAAATCCTACTACAGAGAAGCCCTATCTGTTAAGAATGCTTTTGACAACTAACATAGCTTAACAAACAGCGTTTGCTAATTGCTTAAATGAATGATATATATTTTCTCTCTCACACATGCACATAGGAAGAAGTTTGAAGGTAGGCAGTTCAGGGCTAGTGCAGCTGCTCGGCGATGTCATAAAAGATGCAGGCTCTTTCTCCCTGTGTGCATTGGCTTCTAGCCACATGGCTGCAAGATGGCCACTGCAGCTTTCAGATGTCATATTTCTTCTCAATAAAGGAAAGAGGAAAGAATTGGTACACATAATCCCTTTTATGTGGAAAACCAAAACTTTCCTAAAAGTTTCCCCTGCTCTGTCTGACTTCTGCTTTCATCTGCTTCCATGTTCTTAGCCGCCCCTAGCAGCAAGGGAGGCTGGGAGATTGAGTATTTAGCTTTTCTGGCCTCTATAGTGAAAGCGAGTAAGAGAGAAAAAGTTGAGAAAGGGTAATGTGTTAGCCAACAGTGTCTGTCACAGAAGCATTCTGTATAATAAATCTTTTGCCATACCCAGCAACTCGTCCCTCAGTAACAATGTTTTTGTCATATTGTTATAAAGAATTCTCTGTTGTGAATGATCCTACACAATGAATGTTTTCTCTGATCATTGATGATGCAACAGTCACTCTAACAAAATTGCCTAATTATATGTTATTTACATCCCAATTGTAATAGGGCAAAAAAAATTGTCCAGTTGCTGAGTTCTCAGCGTTTTCTGGTTGTGCCATCAAGCAGCAATTACCTCATCAATTCCCCTCACCTCAGACATCATAACACTATTTCCCTTAAAATCTACCCAAATCCCAAACAACCCACTGAAATTAAGCAAAGTACAAAACATATTTGACAACATGAAACCTGGAGCACTCCCTTTTACTTTGATAATATATGATGCAGGGGACAGCTTATTAGCTCCTTTTTGCTTGGAATATGACTTCCCACAAATTGCTTTTAGGAGAGATCCACATTTTTTCCCACAGTGGGAAAATAAATGCCTTTATGAAGGTCGTTTTATGGGAGATTGACCTTTATTCTTACTTTATTGAAAACTCTGGCTTCTGGCCTCTTTTCTTAATAAAATTTAAACAGCAGCCAACTTGCACTGGACCAAGAGTGATCATGATATCAAGCATACCCCGCCAGTGATGATGCTGGTGGAAAAGGTAGAATTTTAAGATACTTCACTGTGCTTTTTCTTTTTTTTTTTTTCTACTTTGTTTTTCAGGCCAACCCTTTAAATTGGATCCCAAAATGACTCACAAGAAGTTGAAGATCTCCAATGATGGATTGCAGATGGAGAAGGATGAAAGCTCTCTAAAGAAGAGCCATACCCCAGAGAGGTTTAGTGGCACAGGGTGCTATGGGGCAGCAGGAAATATATTCATTGACAGTGGCTGCCACTATTGGGAGGTAGTCATGGGTTCCTCAACATGGTAAGTGGATCCCATTTTCCTTTTCCCTTCTGTCCTCTGTCATTAGGTTCCTAGGAGATTCAATTCTATAGCACAACCATAATACCAATAAGTCAAGGTTAAAAGGTATGTGATGAAAACCACTCCTAGAAAAATTTGCCAGATTTTTAATAAAATAATGGAAATATACTGGGCTAGGAGATAGAAATTGCCACATTGTTCTAATTGCTAACTTTTTAAAGCTCTAGTGATATCAGCATTATGCATCTAAGTGTAAACTACTTAAGGAATAAACATGTATCCTATTTGTTATACATCATATATGGTGTCTAACACAACTCAGATCATTCATAAATGTTTATTTCTGTCTCCTCTCCACCGTCTCACAGGTATGCAATTGGCATTGCCTACAAATCAGCTCCAAAGAATGAATGGATTGGCAAGAATGCCTCCTCATGGGTCTTCTCTCGCTGCAATAGTAACTTCGTGGTGAGACATAACAACAAGGAAATGCTGGTGGATGTGCCCCCACAGCTGAAGCGTCTGGGTGTCCTCCTGGATTATGACAACAATATGCTGTCTTTCTATGACCCAGCTAACTCTCTCCATCTTCATACTTTTGATGTGACCTTCATTCTTCCAGTTTGTCCAACATTTACAATCTGGAACAAATCCCTAATGATCTTGTCTGGCTTGCCTGCCCCAGATTTTATTGATTACCCTGAGCGGCAGGAATGCAACTGCAGGCCTCAAGAATCCCCTTATGTTTCTGGGATGAAAACCTGTCATTAAGTTTCAGGAGAGCATATAATTCACCGGCTCTCTAGTTCAGCAGTTCTTCCCTCCTACACCTAAGTTAGCGTTCAATATATGAGATACAAAATAAAGTTTGTTTGAAGCATCCAAAATAACTAGATACTGCAGATTTAATTTTTGTGCATTAACGCTTGTATTTGAATTAATCTATTGAGTTTCTCAGAACAAATTATCTGAGTAGTCTGCGTTCAAGCCATTGGAGAAAAATTTAGAAAATGCCTCTGTTGTCACTGGAGAATTAAAAATTCCCAGTGATTTAGGAATATAAATTATATTGGAAGCAATTAGGATAATTCTAGTTAAATAATATGGAAAGATGCCCTGAATAAGGGGCTAGCCAGCCAGAAGAGGGGGGTGGTCAGCCTTTCTAGTACTGGCCAGTTTGGCCATGTAGAATTTTGAACGATGTCAAATTATCACATATTATATTTTACTTTTGATGAAAACCTATCATCAAGGTTTTGTTAGGAAACCATGAATGTGTATATGTAATATGTAAAGTGAACATATATATGTACTTTATATATATTCACTTGCATATGTATGTATATGTATATTCACTTTATATATTATATATACAAAAAAACTTTTTTTTTCCCAAACACCAACTCAAACTAGAACAACAAACTTTTTAATTTGCTCCTTTGAGTGAGAAATATACTGGAAGGGAAAATAAGTTACGCCATCCATTTTTGTCCCCTAAAGGAAACATCAAAATCAATCAACATTTCTTTCCTCCCTCTATCCATCATTGTCCTCCTCCCTCTTGTCATGCATACATACACATGCAACCATGACATAGATAATGGGAAGAACTCTATTGGATTAGGAGAGATTTGCAGACAAGATTGCACAAGAGATGCTGTTGCTGGATAGAAAATTGATCCAGGTAGAAGTGATGCTACCTACTTGAGGATGGCCATCCGAATTGTTAAAAATTCTGTCATAGACTATTTAAAAAACAGTTACCACTCCCAAGTACATACAGTTATGAGAATTAGGCTTTTAAAAAGTTGCAGAGTGAAGGCTCTTTAGGAACCTACTTTACTTAATCAGTAAAAATGGCGTATTATTGATGCACCAACTATTCACATATAAATGTACTTGCATTTTCAGATAAAACACTTCTGAAGTACTTAAGAATGTCTGAAAACAGTTTGTTTTCTTAAATGGGATAAATAATCATTCCTTTTGCAATCTTGGTTACAGTATTCATTGTCTTAGCCAATCACTCCACGCAAATGCAGATATAAACTTCATCCCAGTCCTGACCAGTATAGTTGAAGGAAATGGAGCCTTGTGGTCTATGATTTTTTTAAAATTTCCATTGAAGGGATTGGGGACGTCAGAGAACCAGAGCTTTCTCCTTTCCAGGAGCTAAGATGGCTTCAGAAGTGTTCTCCTGGTATTTGTGAAAATATTACTGCTGTAAAATTACAAAGTGGTAGCTGTAACAACTCCCCCAGATTGGAGACTTGAGATGTCAAAACCCCTCTTCCTTTCCCCTAGTTTGGTGGATGCTTATTTATTAATTCATTCAATAAACTATTAGATGCCAAGTACCAAACTACTGCCATGGGAGTGCACATACTAATAAAATGCTCTACCTGCTGCCAATGGCTTACTATTCTGTGGAAGAAACAAAGTATATAATCCTCCCCAATAACAGTTATGTATTGTTTGTTCACTTAATGTGGAAAGCAAGACTGATGCAGACACACAAGGAAGGCTCAAAAATATAAATCTAGCAACGTCATCTTTTTTGGTTTTAAAGACCATATGTACTTACTGCTAATCAGGAAATGAGCAACCTCAGTAAAATTCATCAGTGCTGGTAAACAGCTTGCTGTAGTGGAAAGCTCATAACCTTTGGATTCAAATGATCCTAGTTTTTCTACCATTTATTAGTGTTGTGACCTAGGACAAGTACCTCACTTCTCTGAGCCTCTGTTTCCCCCTCTGTAAAATAATGTCTACTTCACAAGGCTGTTTCTAAGGTTAAAAAAGATAGCATATGTAAACTGTCTAGCTCAGCACTTGACATTTCTTAAGTGTGCCATCAATATTAATCTCTTTCCCTACCCCCAGCCCCAATACAGTGTAGCAGTGCTTTAAAATGTGTGTCCTTCATTTCTCAGTCACCTTTGTCTCTTCCCTAGGGCCTATCCCCAAATTCTTAAACAAAAAATTGATTTTTTTCCCCTTCATAAAACTTTTCACTGGCTCCCTTAGCACCCAGTAGTAGGTCCCAACTCCTTAGAGTTTGGCTTTTCATGTCCCTGTTTGTTTACACAGCTTCATCTTTTGCCACTTTCCCCCTCACATTGATTAAGCTAGCCAAGTTTAACTATTTACACAAGTTATTCTCTGGGCCTGCAGCAGAAACATGATTAACAATTTTAATGCCCAGAGTAAACAACAGAAATTTTTCTTAAATTAAAGGAATAGTGTGAAAATGCTGTAAGTACAGAAAATGCAACCTCCGTCCCAGCAGAATAATTTCCTTTGCCTTGTCCTTTGCTCTCCAAAGCTGTTCACTTATTGTGGTATCTTTTATATTTTAGCGCCCTGGGACAAAGCTCTAATTTCCCCACCCTACTTTTGACTCTATCTTGGACTACCTTTCCTCACGTCTGTCTCTCTCAACCAGACTAACTCTCTATTCCCTAGACTGGATGATGTGTCCCTCTTTGGAGATCCCATGACACCCCAAGCATCCCCTCTCTCAGCAATAATCACATTGTATAGCAGTGTTTTTCAAAGCATGGTCCTCACACCACCTATGTTAGAATCACCTTTAGTGTTTGTCAAAACAATTGATTTTGGATTCCCACTCCTGACCTAACCAGAATATCTGAGAACATAGGCAGGAATTTACATTTTTGACAAGCTCCTCATGATTTTGATGCACAGAAAATTTTAATGTATAATCATCTTCCCTACTAGACTGAACACCTTGAGGCGAAGGACTGTGTCTTTTGTTGTTGTTATATTTTTAATACCTGGCACAGTGCCTGGAACATTAGCTTGCCTAATGTTTATTGAATGAATGTACCAATGAAAAACTGAATTATGAAAGTTTCCCTCTTGTACTCTCATGTTCATAGTGATGTTTGTTACTTCCTGGCCAGAAAAGCTTGGTTACTACTCCATTTGAGCTGTATTAATTCTATTTTGCAGAAGTATCAAGGCTCCTACATAATAAATGATCATTGTCCTCCTCAAAAACTCTTTGGCAGTTATCTTGGGGAAATGTCTTTGGAGCATATGGCACCATTCTTTTCAGTAACATTTCAATCTTGTCAAACTTTGTTCTTTGAAGGTGGATTTACATTTTGGTTATAGCCAAAAATCACTCAGAGCTAAGCCTACTTAGAAAAGTGGAGAGTTAAACTGGGTTTGGAGTAAGCAATGAAGTTTAACTCTGAAGTCCCAATTTCTGAGCCAAACAGTGAAAAATGACTTCTAAGATACAACACGGTGGCAAAGTACTCAGTGGGGGTGTGATGGGCCCCAGATATTTACTTCAGTTAACTTGACTTTTATAGAATCCTGGCACTGCCATGGACCTTAAGAGAAGTAATTGGCTACCTCTAGCTAAACCCAGCTGGACAAAGAGAATAGGACCTGTAGTTAACATTTTCAAAGAAGATGACTCCATAAGCTTTTGTTGCTGTTGCTCTACTCAACCTGTTCTCCACAACCGTTTCTACCAGAAGATTATTTTATGTCTGCAATTTATGCTTGTTTCCACTTTTTATATTGTCTTACTGAAGAAAGCACAAAAATAGTCAAAAATAAAGTAAAACCTGTTTTGAGAGTGTGAAAGAAATTTTAATGCCACATTGAGGTTCTGGCTACTTGTAAGTAAGAGTAACTGCATCTGGATGTGTTTTTTTTTTTTTTTTTTTTTTTTTTGAGACGGAGTCTTTGCTCTGTAGCCCGGGCTGGAGTGCAGTGGCCGGATCTCAGCTCACTGCAAGCTCCGCCTCCCGGGTTCACGCCATTCTCCTGCCTCGGATGTGTTTTTATTATACAATTCAATGTGTATCTTTGGATGCAGTGAAATTCAGATTGCAGCAAAATCACTTATCCGTTCTTTTTGGCTAAAACACACTAGGTGAATTTTCTAAACTTCCATGGTTTACATATTTATATATGACTACCAAGATGGAGCAATCCATGGATAGACTTTTGAATAAACTCAAATATTTGATACCGCTTCCTCCAAGGAATGGAGAATGTCAGGCATGTAGGTAAGAACCACTCCTACAGTTATTTCTAGCTCCTAAAGCCAACTGCAGCCTTGGAACCAATGGCTGTATTTGGCTGTGTATTACAGGTTGGCCAAACTGATTGCCATCAGGTCAGGCAAACTGCCTTTTATGGTGTAGTCTGCCAGCTTCAGACATATGCTGTGTTGTTGTTATTGGCTAGACTATTTATTAGACTATTGTTGGACTATTTTTTATCAAATGCTTTACCCCACGACTGTTTGTATTGGGAGCTCTGGACCAACAGTGTCTCTGCTAGTGACAGAAATATGAGCATCTGTGGATTACACAGCCTCATCCCTCTCTACAATATCCCAGTCCATCCGAAATGCTATATTATGAATTAAATAAATATATATGTATTCATGAATTCTTGGTTGTCTCTCGCTGGAGTTTAATTGGGGGAGGACTAAAAGGAAGATAGCCATGAATTCTTCTGGAATTCAGTAAGTGACTAGGGGAAACCAAGGATCATATAATAGGTAGTGATCTGGACAGAAAGGACCCAGGGGATCTGGAGCTCAAAATTCAATCAAGAAGACTTTGATTTCAGGAGCATGACGTGGTCAAGAAGACCAAAGAAATGAAGATATAGGGTTCAAGGAAACATGACACATTCAGTTTTAGAGATTGGAGCAGAAGGTGAGAATCAAAGAACAAATAAAATCCCAGTGTTGGAACCCACTGATTAAAATTAGGGTAGCACCAGAAACAAGTGAGCTGACTTACTGTTAAAACAACTGGCCCGCAGGAGGAGACTGGGAGGAAGCTAGGAAGTCCCTCAGGGCTGGAATTGGGCATATCTTAATCAGATTTGTAGTGGCACTAAGACTAAAAGGGATCATGCGATATGAAGTGAATGAAGCAGGGCAGTCAAGGGTGGCAGCTAGAGAAGTGACTTGAAACAGGTCATCAGACCAGGGGCCTATAAGAACTACAGCCCAAAGGTAAGAGGAGTAAAATATAAAGGAGAAAAGAATTTGGAACATTGTGTGTTTAATGGTTTAATTGAAGAGCAACCTAGGCAAATACCAAATATAGGGCTATTACCCATAGCTAAGATTTTAATATTTTTTTTGTGTGTGTGATGATGTTTGGAAAGGCCATCTCCATTTAATGTGCCAGAACCGGGCAGATACGGGATTCTTTATGCTTCGCTATCTGAGAATAGAATTGGTCCCAGAGTTTCAGAGAATCTGAGCCTGTAGTTCGGAGGGGGGAGGTCTCAGTTACGATGGTTAGGAGTAACAGAGACCAAATAGGTTGTTACAAGGTTATTAGAAATGTATATAGCATGACAGCTAATGAGAATGACTCTCCTCCACCGTGAATTTCCAGGAATGGAAGATCAAGCTGGTTTTCCTATACTGTTGGGCACAACACAAAAATTACAATTGCGACTGATCTTGTCGGGTCATTCAAGAGCAGTTATTAACCACTAGTTCTGTTCCTAGTACTCTTCTCACTTCTGTGGTGGGATATTAAGATGAAAAATATTCCCAACATTTACAATGGAGTACCCAATTCAATACTGCTTCTCAGATAGTTTTACATCTATGAACTCAATGAGTTAATAGTGGTAGTTGACAGAGGGACCATTTGCTAGAGACACCGGAGTGCAAGTGGAAGCTCTTACCAAGATCTAGCATGGAGACTTGTACATAGTATGTGCTTAGTAAATGCTGGTTGAATAGAATTAGAATCTGATAAGCAGAACGACAAGTAGGCCACCTCATACACTGTGAAGTTGGGTGAACTCACCAGCACCACGTGTATAATCCCTCTCAGGCACATATTCCTGGTCCCGGATTCCCATGACTGCTTCTTTCCATTATTCTTTAAGGCCAGGTTCCTTCAAAGGAAACAATTAGAAGAATTAATAAATTAGCCACCAATAATGTGCTAATGGAGGAATGTGGGCAAAATTCACACAGAAAACAAGATATTGTTTCTCAGAAAACAAGAAATGTTAACAAGAACCTTCCAGGGAAAATGTTTTTGTTGTCTGACTTGGGACTGACAAGTTGGAGAGGGCAAGCTTCAGACTTTCCAGTTTAGCAGGGTCAGCTGACAATGCCTTGGCAGGCTAAGCCCCTGCCAGGGGAAATATTTTGGACCAAGAGGACTCTTTCAAAGGGGATATAGATGACAACTGAGTCTCACTTAGCACAATGCCTGTGATCCTTCTAGAGCACAAGGGCTGGCCTTGCACACAGAATACAAAGAGGATCTGCTACTCTTCCAGGCAGATTAAAAGTTCCAGGAAATTGAATTTGGGCTGATTTTCCCTTTGATGTATAGTGATACGAAAAAGCTACTATGATCAACACCTCTTTGTTTGACTTAACTCCCTCAGTGATAAGAGAGGGTCATGAGATGGCCCAAAAATGTGAAATTCACAGTAAGCAGCTGTCAAGCACATATGGCAAGTCCAAGTCCAAGGCCTGACTGATTTAGTAGGTAAAGATACAAGGAATCACTTTTAGATTCAAACAGTTTATTATTTACACGGTGAAACGAAACACAGTCAAAGTTTCCAGCTCCAAATGGTCCTTGTCCCAAACAACAAAAAGGATGACACTGAAACACAAGGGACCAGAAGACTTCCAAATTACTTGTGGGATACCTCACTGCTAAGAAGCCAATTATAGACTGCATTTAAGTGGCTTTATAGTCTGTAGCTCTATTCTGAGGGAAGTGGGTCAGGAAGTCTTGTACCTCATCAGACATACCTGGGAGGTGGCAGGTTATGAAAATCTGTCTCATGAAGCTTGCCAAGGGAGATAAGGAGGCAAGTGGGAAATTATCTTGAAGCAGCTCCTCTCAGGCCTCCCGTCCCTTGTGCTCTGGAAGGATCACAGGCATTCTGCCAAGACTCAGATTAGCTGTGCTTCAAGCCTTTTCTCGAGGGATCATTGTAGATATTGCCAAGTGGCTAGGGTGCTAGGGTAGAGCCATTCTCATACAGAGACTAGTTGAAGGGCCAGGTAACTTCCTCAGGGGAAAGCAAAAGGAAGCAAAGTCAGGGTCTTTTGAAGTACCTCTTCTCTTCTTCCCTTCTGCTGACCTTCCATTCACGTCCTTTCATTTTTCTCAGTATTTTGGGAGTTGGGGGTGGGGATGGGGATGGGGCAGAGATTAAATGCATAATTAGGATATAAAATAAATTCAATCTCTGAAAGATTCAGTACCAAGGCCGGAGAATTCCAAGGACTGGGTCCTTTGCTATCTCTGGCTCTTAGTTTTTCAACTAGGAATTAAAGAGTACGGGTAATTTCTAAGGTCCCTTCTAGCCCTAAGAGTATGAATTACCATAAATGCAAATTTAGTGAATGTAGTGACAGGAGCCTGATGTGCATACCTACCTCAAGAATATTGGGACATGAGGGCAGATCATCGGGACTGGGACAGAGAAGTGGATGACATTACTGTTACTTTAGGACCATCATCAGAATCCCTTTTGGGGTGACTATCCTTCCCCTTACACACTTTGCTTCACTTGAACCTCCCTTGCCAATACTCTGCCACCATTACTTTTGAGCTTTCTGCTTCAGCCCTCTCCCCAATCCTGCTTGATAACTGTACAAAATGCAAATACTGTTTTAGCTAGTGGTGTCTCTGTTTCAAATTTCAGGTCAGCCATCTGAGAGTCTTCAATGTGTACAAGCAGGGAATTGCCAAAGATATTCTACTTTCCAAGGCCAGAGGAGGTCACTTGATATAGCAACTAACAGGGATCCTGTGTGCCACCTTCTCCAATTATGGTCTTCCCAAACCAAACTGCCACAAATACATCCCTTAAAAGGCAGAAGAGAGAGTCCTGGTACAGCCACCACTCCAAGTTATCATTCCGCCATTCATTTATTCACTCATTCAACAAATATTTTGATAGTCTCTTTGAGGCAGGTGTTGGAGTTCGGTGATGAATAAGATACATAATCCCTGTCCTCATGAGACTCATAATCTAGAGGGAAGACAGAGTATCAAGGAATGAAGACTTTTTGAATCATAGGCGCTGTCTGTCATTGGTTGCCTACAGTGTGCCTGGCACTATGCCAAGCACTTGAGCTGCAGTGATTCACTCAATCCTCCCAGCAATCCTATAAGGTTAAGACTATTATTGACTCCCTCGAACATGAAGAGTTAATCAATCTCTGCGCCCAGGCCCAGACCTGCAGATTCCTATATGCCTGGTGAGCTGCTAGCCAAGGGTCTTAGCCATGGCTGTTTTGGGTATCAGGTAAAGTTTAAGGCCCAGCACTGAGGAAATAAATGACCCAGTGCAGCAGCTCCTGAAGTCAGGGTTAACCGAGAAGGCCTTCCAGGTCTTTGCTAGACACCCCCAAAACTGCCCCCGACGCGATTTTCCCATCCTCTTTTTTTCTCCCCTTTCCCTCCGGCACTCCATTGCCCTCCCTTTCCAGACTAGCCCCTCCCTCTGGGCCGCCTCCTCTCTGAGTCATTTCCCCTTCTCCGCCCCAAAGACCTTGGCTTTCTCTTGGAATCCCTTCCCCCGGCAGGAGGTAGAGGAAGAGCAAACTGACTTCCGGCATCAGGTGAGCGCTTTCCCCAGCGAGGATGAGAAACGCCTCCCCGCAGTCCCCTGACCCCCCCGAATTCGGAAGGACGGGAAATCCTGGGAGTTCCCTCGAGCCGCGCGTGGGAGGTGCCACGCCCCGCCTGGTGTCTCCTGGGATGTGAGGTGGGAAGCTGTGGCCCAGTCGGACGGGCCTGTGTGGCTGCGACCGGCTCCGGCGCGGTGAGCTCAGCGCGCTGGGGAGGGACCCAGCTGCCGCGAAGCTTGGGGGCATGGAAAGGTCGGCTGCGGAAGCCAGCCATTGGGAGGAGAGAGGGGGAAAAGCTCCGAGCGGTGCATGTGGAGAGTGCAAGCGCGTGCAAGTGGGCTGGTACGTGTAGTGAGAAGGCATGAGTGTGTATGAAAGGGTGTAGAGAGGTGCGTACGTGGGGAGGCGCGCGCGTGCGGGAATGCTTGTGTGCGTGTGATGTGTGGGGGAGATGCGAAGATGTGATTTACACAGATGCGGACGTGGGAGTGTGCGACTGGTGACATGGAGAAGCCCTTGGAGGATGTGCGTGCGTGTGCATGTGGAGGTGTGCGTGAGGGGATATAGATTTATTAATAATATATATGCGTGCGCGTGGAGTGCGTGCGTGCGTGGGGGTCCGTACGTGGGGATGCGTGCATGGGGGGTGCGTGCGTTTGGGGCGTGTGCTTGGTGGTTGCGTGCGTGGTGGGGAGGGGAGAGCAGGAGGGAAGGTCGACGGAAGGCAGGAGCCAGATGCATGCGTATCTGAAAGTAAAAATGGCCTAGAAGCTCTTGCTGACAGAGCTTTAAGTTTGGATTCTTAACCTGTTTGTTTTTCTTGAGGTGGGCGGTAGGATGCACATGGCACCGTTTGAAAATGAAGAAAACTATTGACCAATTGACCACCTCTTTTAAAAAAATGCCCATGATTTGCATGTAAGCACAGAGGGTTCGTGAACCCACTGATGGTCATCTGTAGATCCTAGATTATGGTTTTAAACGGGGAGAGACCCAAATAGATTACGTTGATATCCGCCATTGTGTCTTTTGATTCTATGAGAGAAGAAATGGAACAGCCGCTGTCCTTGGGTTGGTGTGGCTTTGAGGCTAGGTTTGCTGCCCCTGTTGGACATGGTGCCAGCAGAGTGGGGAGTGTAAAATGGGATCACTGCCCAGAGTCAGACTGCGGAAGGGTGCCTCGAGGCCTTCAGGATAAAGCTCGGCCCCTCCCTGGCAGATCACTAGCACAGGTTTTGCGGGTTAGTTCCTTGATAAGGTTGGAAAGTGGAGATTTGTAGTTGCTTTCTTGCGTGATTCCCGTCCCCCCTCGCCCCCGGCCCCGGCCCTGATGGCCTGTGGGTGGTGTCAGGGAGTATGAATCTAACTAAGGTTGGGACTTCGTTGGATAAGTGACTAGAAGGAGAGCAGCAGACTTGCCTTCTGATCCCATCTTTACGATTAACTAACTGTGACATTAAGCAGTTTTCTTGATCTTCTTGTGCATCACTTTGTTTGTTTGTTTATTTATTTACTGAGACTGAGTCTCGCTCTGTCACCCAGGCTGGAGTGCAGTGGCGCAATCTCGGCTCACTGCAGCCTACACCTCCCGGGTTCAAGCAATTCTCCTGTTTCAGCCTCCCAAGTAGCTGGGATTACAGGCACACACCACCACGCCTGGCTAATTTTTGCATTTGTTGTAGAGATGGGATCGCTCCATGTTGTCTAGGCTGGTTTAGAACTCCTGACCTCAAGCGATCCACCTGCTTCAGCCTCCCAAAGTGCTGGGAATACAGGCTTGAGGCACTGCACCCAGCCTCACATTCCTCATTTATAAAATGGTAGTTCACAGGGTAGTTGGAAGTTTAAATAAGACTATAATAAATTCCCAGAACATGGGAAGCCTTTAATAAACGGCTGCATACCTAGGAATAAATAATGTGTGCATTTATTTTATATATGTGTGTGTATATATATGTTTGCAGAAAAGTTAAAGTTAAAAGTTTTATTCTGAAATAATGTCTTAAACTACTGATTTCTTTTGGTTTCTTATAGGCATACCTAGTTGTGCTGTCAGCCAAAGCCCACCAAGTTCATCCTGTAAAGTCACATGCCTGAAGTAAGTGGGACTTTATTTGGAATTATTTGCAGTGTTCAAGTAGATAATTATTAGTCCACCATCAACTGTCACTTGGATTGCTGCCATGGCCTCCAAATCTTCACATTTGCCTGCTTCCCTCTTTCATTCTCCATGTTGCAGTCAGTTATCTTTCCCTCTGAGAGGCAAAATAGCCTACTGGTTTGGAGCACAGACCTTGGAGTCAGACCTATCTCCTTGAGATCCCAATTGCACCCTGCTCCACCACTTTCTAGCTGTGTGATCTTGCACAAATTACTTGATTTCTTTTTTGGGGGATTTCAACATTTTAATTTCTTTTTAATATAAGTCACTTTCTGCAAGCTAGGAAACAGATTCAACCTAAGACAATCTAGTCCTCTGGAGATCCAGGCTGAGTCTTTCGATCTTTAGCAGAATGACATCATAGTATAAGGTGCTAGCAATAGAGTTATAAACTCTAAATAATAACCACTTATCTACATTTTTCATTAGGAAACAACCAAAAGTCCATTACTTAAAGACATCATATACAGAACATACTGATCTACAAAAGACCCAACGACCCAAATTATATGCTGCCCAACCTATTGGTGAACTGGATCAGAACTGGCCAAGGACTGGTAAATAGAGAAAGGGTTTACACTTTGAAAACTTCTTCTGTGGTTAAAAAAATTCCTGGTTGTTATCAATAAGAAAACAAGTGAAAAATGTTACAGATGGACCCACACTGATATTTGACTTTACCAGGGTCTTCCACCAGAACATGAAGGTAGACATAAGTGTAGGAGATTAGATATTGAGATATTTTAAAAACAAATTACTTAGTAATAAGAAGTTAGACATACAGCATTATTCGATTTGCTGCAAGAACAAATGGACAATGAAGATTATTTAAAAGAAATGTTCAACTCTAAAGAGGGTAGTGGGAACAACACTTTCCACTAGAGAATAACCTCCCATTTTCTTAGACAGTTAGCATTGCTATTCTTCCATAATACATATTCATATGGAAAAACTTGTCAAGAGCTTTTGCCAGGGCCAGGAGATGAAAAATAGAGCATGTTTTAATTAGCAAATTGTAAGCTCAGTTAACATTTTTTGGGATGGACCCATAAAATCTGGCCATTGTTTTGTTAAACTTCTGTAAACTGCAGAATTCCCTAACCCTTAGTTAGCTTTGGTTTTTGCTCAATATCCTGAAGCTGGGCACAGTCTCAATGTAACTCTTCTCCTAGGGGCTGAAGTGGGTGCTAGTCATCAAAGTTTGGAATGTCATTTTAGGAGCAACCTCTAGAAGTAATCCTGGTAAGCCCTAGAAGTAATCCTTTGGATGCATAGTAGGCTCTGTGCAGGTGGTAAAATCAGGGCAGGAATACCAGAATGTCAATGATCAGGACTGGAACTTCCCAGTCTGTCCCTGCTTTGCTGATGTAGCCAGAAGGTGAGCCTATGGTAATGAGAAAGGCACCAATTGAAAAACAGCACGGTGGCAAGTGCAGTGGCCTTATAGGGGATCTTAGGAGGGCTTTTCTTAAACTGAAGGTCAGTGTAGCCATCATCTGTGCTGTTGAGCCTTGAGTATTTCACTTTACTAGTGGAGATTCCAGCCAGGTTGATGTGGGAGGGCATCATAACACACTGACACAGCTACAGTTGGAGTGCCATGCCAGGCTGCCAGTGGCGAGACTTTGCTCACAGTTGGCAGCAGAGGCACTCAAGACTGTGCCACCTAACTGCCACCCAGCTCACCCCAGCAAGCACCAGTGCCCTGGAAGTCTACTTCACCTCTTTTAGAATCTGTTTCCTTATCCGTGAAAGGGGACAATGCTGATACTACCTCAAGGATTTTGTGAGAGGTTGCAGAGATAATGTATGTAATGTTGCTCACAGTAATTGCTCAATAAATGGTAGATTAAAAATGCAAGGGCAGTGAAGTAGCCAGCAAGAAAGTGGTTGAAGTGATGCACCATGGCACCTACACTGGGTAGGGATTGAAGCCATGAGGTGATAATGAGCTGCAGAATGGGAGAAATCAAAGGATGGGAGATCTTGATGAGAATGAAAAATGTTTGGCTGTGAAATGAGTCCTTGATCAAAATTTTTTTTAAAAAAGAAAGAGAATGAGGAGTGGGTGTTCTGAGAACCAAGAAGTAACTGGACTAGGAGGTTGTAGCCAGAGATTAGGCTAGTAGAGTTCAGTAATTCTAAAGTGGAGCAGCTCCATGCCTATTGGGTGGTCTAGGAAACTAATGACTAGTAATGACTTAGAAAGTGGCATGTGGTCAGAGGTTGCTGAAGTAGAGGAGATCAAAGGGCAGTGAAGCTAACATGTTGGATGAGTCATCGACAGACATTGATATTGCTTACATGATGGCAGGGGTTGAAATCGAGAGGAAAGTGGAGCCAGTGCCAAAGCCAAGGTTCATCCTAATTAATGGAAGGCTGTTATTTATTTCACAAATATTTACTGAGCCTTTACTAGATGTCAGGATGTAACAAGACAGACAAGAATGATGCTGTCATGGAGTTTACAGTCGAATAGGAGTAATAAGAGACATTAATAATCCTACCTATAAATAGAAAGCTGTAAACTGTGATAAGAGCTATGAATGGGCCAGGCGCAGTGGCTCACGTCTGTAATCCCAAAACTTTGGGAGCCTGAGGCAGATGTGTCACAAGGTCAGAAGTTTGAGACCAGCCTGGCCAAGATCGTGAAACTCTATCTCTACTAAAAATACAAAAATTACCTGGGCGTGGTGGCATGTGCCTATAATCCTAGCTACTCGGGAGGCTGAGGCAGGAGAATCGCTTGAATCCAAAAGGCGGAGGTTGCTGTGAGCTGAGATCGCGCCATTGCACTCCAGCCTGGGCAACAAGAATAAAACTTTCTCAAAAAAAAAAAAAAAAAAAGCTATGAATGAAAAATAAGGGTTCTTATTATATAGGATATAATAGGTTCTTATTATATAACCCTGTCTGGAAAGTTAGGGGAGGCTTCCCTGAAGAAGTGATGAGGACTGAAAGATAAATTAGGGTAGATAGAGGTGGATGGTGGGTAGGTGGAAGACGTGTTCCAGGTAGAGGAAACAGCATGTGCAAAGACCTGAAACTAGAATATGTATAATAATTTGAAGAACTGAAAGATATCTCCTATGACTAGAGCATATTAAGAATTACTCTAGCCATAGGAGAGTAATATGAGCTGAGGCTGGGTGGCAGGCTCCTTAAGGATTTGGGCTTTATACTGTGAACATTGGTAATATTTGGATGACATGATAACCAGGCCAGGCACGATGGCTGGCACCAGTAATCCTAGCATTTTGGAAGCTCAAAGTTGGTGGATCACTTAAGCCCAGGAGTTTGAGATCAGCCTGGGCAACCTGGACAAACTCCATTTTTACAAAAAATATAAAAAATTAGCCAGGCATGGGGGCGCATGCCTGTGGTTCCAGCTACTGGGGAAACTGAGGTGGGAGGATCACCTGGGCCTGGGGAAGTTGAGGCTGCAGTGAGCTGTGATCATGCCACTGCATTCCAGCCTGTGTGACAGAGGAGACCCCGTCTCAAAGAAAAAAGTCAAACACATAAGCATATAGGATAAATTGTGAAAGGCCAGTTTATGTGTACGTTAGTATAGGGCAGCATGTGTGTATGTGTGTGTGTATACATAAAATACATAATATGTAAATGCATATAATAGATGTATGCATATATAATATATAAAAAGATACATACCATTTCATCACTTTAAAGAATGCTAAATGTACAATGGTTATATTTCAGTGTCCATACATAGACATCCAACTCATTCTTTTCTTTAAAAAAAATTTATTACTAATACAAATAGAGATAGGGTGTCACCATTTTGCCCAGGCTAATCTCAAACTCCTGGACTCAACCAATCCTCCCACCTCGGGCTCCCAAAGTGCTGGGATTACAGGTGTGAGCCACCAAGCCTGGCCCAACTCATTCTTAAGAGTTGTAAAGTATTCCATGTTATCAATGTGTGATGACTTATTTAACTATTGCCCTATTGATAGACATTTAAGTTGTCTCTAATTATAAATTATTTTGCAGTGTACACTGTTCACAATAGCAAAGACATGGAATCAGCCTAAATGCCCGTCAATGATAGACTGGATAAAGAAAATGTGATACATAATACATGATGGAATGCTATGCAGCCAAAAAAAAAAGAAAAGAATGAGATCATGTCCTTTGTAGGAACATGACGCAGCTGGAGGTCATTATCCTTAGCAAATTAATGCAGGAACAGAAAAACAAATACCACATGTTCACACTTAAACGTGGGAGCTAAATAATGAAAACCAATGGGCAGAAAGAAGGGAGCAAGAGACAATGGGGACTACCTGAAGGAGGAGGGTAGGAAGAGGGAGAGGATTAGGAAAAATACTATCAGATACTATGCTTAGTACCTGGATAACAAAATAATCTAAACCAAACTCCTGTGACATGAGCTTACCTATACAACAAACCTGTACTGCACATATACCCCAAACCTAAAATAAAAGTTTAACAAAATTGCAATATGCCATTCTATAACTTTTTTTCTCTAATATTATGCTTCAAATTTTATTTTTAAAATTATAGGAATACACAAGGAATTACATGAGGAATATAAGAATATATTATTATAAAAATTGTAAAAATGTAGAAAAGTGTAACAATGAGAGTAAATGCTTATATAGGCCTTACTGTGCCCAACACCACTCTAAATTCTTTAAAGAGATTAGCACATTTACTCTTTACAACAATCCATGAAATAGGTACTGTTATTTTTTTCCATTTTACAGATAGAGACACTGAGGGCACAAAGAGGTCATGTAACTTGCATGTGGTCATACAGCTAATTATTGTTGGAGCTGGGCTCTTAGTCACCTGATTGTTTTCCTTCACCTCCACCCAGTTGAATGCCTTACCTCAAATGTGACAACTATTCTTTGTTTCATTTGCAATTTTATCTACCTATATAAAACACA